AAGGAGAGAGAAAAAAATTGGCCCCTTTCAGGGCTTACCAGAGAGGGTTGTGTTCTTGGTGAGAGCTTATTCCATTCTTTGAGGTCACAAATAAAAGGATTCCATAACCCACACCAAAGAATCCACCCCCTTATTCATGCTGTCAGGATGGAGCTCAATATCTATCGCTTCCCTGATAATATGGTCTGTGTCTCAACTTCTTTCAGCCCTATGTTCCCAAGAGGAATAAAAGGAATTAACTCTAACTAACTCAACTTCTTGGCCAGAACACTGGAGGAGAGACAAGGGTTGTTTCACCTGTGCAAAACGTACCCTCACATTGTTTGTTCTCAAAACACTCTGTTACTGCCATGACTTATGAACATGCGTTTATGATAAGGATCACAAACTGCACAGTAGCATGGAGAAATTACAAAAGATACATAAACAAAACACTGCACCACAACGCTATATTGTAATGCATTTCAATGGCCTACAAGCACTGCCATCTAGTTATGGCATAGTGTATTAGCTGACCATTACTGGAACCACTTGGAAAAGCGCTTTGTCATCAACTGCCTTGTTGATGGCATCTGGACCAAGCTCTGATAGTAGGTCATCGTCTGGTTTCAGTCCACATATATTATATATGGTCATTATGATGCATTTCAGTAGTGAATGCTCCTGGTGGTTGAAGTTGTGGTCAGGTGCTATTACCTATTTCCCAGCAGTACAAACTTGATTCATGCACAAATAATCCTAATAACATTCCCTTAAATATTTCTTTGCCCTGGCTACTAACTGCACATTGTTACAGATATAAGAACTTGGGAAAGGAAGGTACACATGAAGAAAGCCCACAGTTAAATATAAGCCATACTGCAAGGTAGTAACTTTAATGTACTACACAAAGTTGTGCCACAAGATAATAATTTTAATGTACTACACTTAATTAATCCTAACATATGATGATCTAAGCTACAATTATGTGCTCGTGGAGTCAGCCTGATCACCATTTATACTTTCATATTAGTGGATACTCTGGAATAACATCACTCACATATACAAATACCATCACATTTCTGTTGCGATATTTCATTATTTATTTAAATCAAATGCATAACTGAAATTATAACTATTATGGGCAGAATCTTCAAATTCTGAGCTAAAAAAAGTTCAGGTAACATATTTTACATCAGCACTAGCTTAGCTATTCAAATTTCCAGCACTCAGTACACTGCACAACCCAGTTCAAAATCTGTCCAAATGTCTGATGGGAATTGCAGGTTCTACAGAATTACAAGATACCATATTGCTCCTGTCACACATGATCAATATGCTTACTTCAAAAGTTATTTCAAAACAATACATAACAGTATTATGGGTCCCACCTCTGTTAAAAAGTGGAGATGTCTGCAAAAAGTTCCTTACCATTTTCTTGTATAGCCACATTGCAATGTTGCAGACTGTCTTCAGGCAATGGCAAAGACTTCAGCTGGTGTAGAGCTTTAGAAGCAGCATCATGACGAGCTGCCTGAGCAGTTGGACCATCACCCAGGAACTCTCGAGCTCCCACACGGAGAGACACTGTGAACACTGGTGGCTGAAATCCTCCAGGGCCCTTCCCATAATGATACCTCTATGAAAGGAAAATTATGACATTTCACTGCTTCTTTTTTTTAAAATTTGTCTCTCTAAATATCATAAAAAATATGGACGACATTTAAATTAATATTACACATGTTTCAGGTTATAGAATCACACACACAGTATTGGAGAAACAAAGTGTAACATCAATGAACATTTACTGTGACAAAAATAATAGGAACAGCAAAACACATTTTATTTACACATTTTAGTTAACACTTCACATTTTTTTTTAAATTTCAAATTGGTGTCCACCGTTATGTGGCATGCATAATTGTGATGGTCAAATTCATCCAACATTCTGTTCTGCAAGTCAATATCTACCTCAACAAATGTCTGCTGAGTGACTAGCACTACTCTTTGTCAATTTTAAAGGGTTATGACAATGGTGTGTTACAATCAGGATTACTAAATTCCTGGACTTTGAAGACCAGATGATTGACAAAATCCAGAAATTTAGTATTTTGGAGGTCTATGGTTTTGTTCTTTTCTGATAATAAGTTATAGTATGACTGTAGAACTGCATCAATTCCTCCAGATGCCATTCATACATGATTTTGACACTTCACTCCATGCCGCTGAAATGTTGGCGATCCCTTTCATGATGTCATATGACTTCCAGTAGTCTCTCAACGTGACATTATCAGACACTTGAATAGCCTCAGAAATTCCCTTGAGTGTTGTCCATAAGTAATAAGCCTTGAAGGTGGATATTGCTCCTTGATCCATGGATTGTAAAAGTGAGGTTGTGTTTGGTAGAAGGAGGACAATCTTGACCTCTAGGCCATTGGTATTCAAATCATTTTATATTCCATTTTTTGTTTAATTATTTAAATTTTAGGCCATAGTTTATCATTTAGTATTATAGTTTTATTACACTGTAGGGACCATCTGTATCTAGGAAGTCGGGCAGAGTCATAACTTATCACCCCCTCCAATCGTGACCTATGAGAGGCGCAAAACTGAAGTGGGCGTAAATTGAAGCGGCATAAACCGAGTCCTACCTGTATAATGTATTCTTCTCGGGCTACCAGCCATGTAAGGTGGTTTAATGAAGAAAAACCCAACGTTTTGGGAACAAGGACAAACATGGTTCTCGAAATGTTGGTGTTTTCTTCATTAAACTGCCTTACATGGCTAGCCTGAGAATTCATTATAATTGTGTAATATGGACATGATGCACACATAGTATCATCAGCCAGCCACTGGGGAGTAACACTGTTCTCACAGTGCATATCTTGACAGTACCTACCTCAAAATCAGGCCATGACCACTTCCTTTCAAATCTTTTCCAATTTATTATTTGTTAATCACCATATCATCTGATTCCACATAGTATGAGCTACTTACAGCATCATTAAAAAACCCATAAATAAATAGTTACCAGAGCTATGGCATTAAGTATCTTATAATATTTTCCAAATATGTGCAAACATAGGATATATGTTTGTCAACACTATGTCTTTCAGAAACTGCCAAAAGTAAAGTCCACTTGAGCAAGAGATAACCTGTGTAGACAAAGTGTCACTGCCATGGAATATCATCTTCCTTAGGGGGTTTTGTCACAACCCTGAAAGAAAACCTCTTACACAGTAACATTCTATCATTTGAAAGGCATCACCCAACTTCAGCTTTCCTCCTTGATGAGTTCTGCAGACAACAGATACTCCACATGAACTTGCTCCAGAGTTTTATCAATATGTCATATGCCCACCTTTGGCTTACGATAACTGCAGCCTGTTTCAGCAGATGTGTGTGCACTGTACTTTTTTTTGGAGGGGGGCACAAGAAAATTAGTTTACGATTAGCACACACATATGCTTACCATATTTCACAAGTAATCAATGTTGCTGAATACTTCTGTTCAAACTACAACCCAGAACTCACATTTTCTACATCACCAAAAGCCACTTTAATTAAAAACTGCAATGCCACATGACACAAACATGGAGGATTCAACCAGCACCAAACCTTCAGTGTTAACCAGCACTTTATAACAAACTGTGTTGTGCTATTATTGTAATTTTGGTCACAATGAAAGATCAAATATATTTTCCTTATTTGTGTGCCTTGTACTGTACATGTGCCCTGAAAACTATTCAAGATCTGTAACTAATAGTTTTGAAACAATAATCACTTCACTGTTACCAAAGACACATCATTCATTGTCAGTCATTACTCATTGATCATAGTATTCTTGATATCTATGTAATAATTAGCACTATGCTGAACACACATTATACATATACCAAACACTGTAGGTAAGTAATTAGCACTCTAGTCTCATACTCAAGAGTTTCTGGATATAAATCTTGCTCAAAAGATCACTACCCTGAGTTTGTGGTTATCCTCATTCCATCCAAACAAGTAATGGCAGGCCATTATTGATTTCTTCTACAACCTTCTCAATACACAGTTCACAATCACTTATCCATTTCAAGGAAACAAATAATTAACATTAAGAACCCAATGTGTGTCTAATTAATTTCTTATAGCTTCCTGCATCCTGCAGAATTTCTCTATAAAAACAAAAATTCAAGACACATCACTGTATGTTTGGCAGAACAGTTTAATCTGTAACAGCGAAACAGTTACACCTAATTCTTTTTCAACTCTTAAAAAATTAACAACCCGATCTGTGTGAAATGCAAACACAAAACAATGAAATCAAGTTACAATGAAAGTAGTTCTTTCAATTTTTATGCAACATATTATGTAATAATGGGAGCTCAACTAGAATGATACCAACCAAAAATGTAAAAAGTACTAGTATTAGCATAAGTCCTTTCTGTGTTATTTATATGAAATACAGTCTCCAACTGCTAAGCATATTTAACAGTACCTTGGCAAGAAAATTTCTTCAGGATTAATACAAGGAAAACATAGTAGATCTACACATATTTTAAACATGCTAAAGATGAGAATGGATTGGAACTTCCAAAACTTGGGCTTTTGAATCCCAAGGGAGTGTACCATGTGCTTCAAGGCAATGAAAAGTATTTTAAAATTCTCATAACAAGTCACTGCATATAACAGCACCCACTAACAGAATACAATAATGTATCTGAAACATTTTAGAAATGGGTGCAGCTTTCCTGCACTGTACAATGGTCATTATCAGCACTTTTGTGTTACCAACTGTGACAATACAATTTAAGATGAAGTGAAAGAAGGACTGGGTACCTAAATAATGCAAGTCGCATGCTAAGATGCCCTCCTATGTGAACAACATGCAGGGTAGTTGTAATGGATTCCCAAAAGCTTTCACACCTAAACAGTATTAGATGACATCAATCTTCAGCCCTTAATATAAGTTAAATAGGTTGTGAAATCTTACTTCCTTACTGCGTCAATAACCTCCGACCACATTTATAGCCCAACAACCACAAAAGATTGAAGTTCGTCATACAGATTGTGAGAGGGGCACAACACAGCTGTGTACACAACTCATTTTTTAATTTGATGAAATGTATCTACTGGCAACTGAATTCCTATTTGACAGACTTACCTCAACTTGTTGCTTTTCATCTTCTGGGTTGTAACACCTTGTGGACTTACATGTAAATACCAACGTTTCTTCAAAACATACTACCTTGATCTTCAGCCCTGAAGATAACTGGCTAGAAGACCACATGGCATTAGAGCCCAGAAGACTGGCATCAACATCTTCACCACTGTGAGAACCTCAATCACTACCAGAATTTCCACTGAAGGCTGAACTCATCTCTACCGCAGTTCAGCAAGGAAAGCAAATTTCCATTCAAGAATTATGCTATGTTACCCCTTAAGACTCCATGCACAGCATCATGTAATTAACAGTGATTATACAAAACACAGCACATGCAATGAAAAGGTTCATAACAAGTAACCAACAGATACTCCTAGCATGGAGCTTACACAAACTTCTTCCCCATAAGAATCTACAAACCTGATGAGAAGGTTATCTCAAGCACCTCATAGCAGAAGAGTCTCCTCACCTACTTCCACTTCATATTTGCAAATCAGCATAAAAGGCTAGTGAATATGAATGATTGTTATTACAGAGTTTGCATCATTACAATTATAACCTTTGCTGTAACAGTGTGGAAATGACTGTTTCAAAGTCTAAATAAAATCTCTACCATTCTGACTAATTGGTGAAATTTAATTTTGTAGCAGAAATATGCTCAGATAATTATATGCTTGGCAATGAAGACAGATGTGATTATCAGCTTAGATAAGAGGTCATATTACAACAGCCAATTGTATCTAGTTACAAAAAAATTGTATGTTCCAATTAAACCAGTAACTCATTACTCATAACTCACACTTCTCTACTGTACACTTAATTATGACTAGGAAAGCTTAAGTCAGCAAAGTGAGTATGAGTTCAATTCCCAGCAAGGTAGTGCAACTTCGCTCTACCTGGAAGCCATATAGCAAGCAGCTAACCACAGTACATCTGAATTCCCAGTCCAACCACTTGCCTCTATATTAATGCAGGGGCAGAAATGTTTTCCTTTCCATGATTCAGACTGGTTGTGGGGCCCATCAAACCCAACCCAAAGAGTAGTTTCCTTCAGAAGATAAAATGGCTGGAATATGAAGGTGACTCTCGCTTCCATCTAGTGCTTTGGTCTAGAATTCATGGACCTTAATCTCCATATTTCTTCTATTCCCCCACAGCACAGTCCATAGGCACAGACACACATTTTACCTTACTGTATTTTATTTCTACAACTGTAATTTTTGAAGGACTAATGACCATCAGGTTATAATGTTTATGTCATACTATTCTTTATCTGCCAACATTGGTATAATACTCAAGGAGTCATCAGTCCATTAACTGAACCTTATTCATCTTCACTTCTCAGATAGCCTAACCAATGAAACCACCAGATCCTAAATGCAATATCACTGTTATCCACATTCCTCACCCATGAATTAGTAAAAGGTGCATTCACTCATTCTACATATAGCATGGAGCCCAGACATGCAGTACTGCTGTATCACTAACAAATCACAACACAAAAAATTTCAAGCAATCTGCATACAAGTATGCCTATGGTGACCATGGCTTGCAAGCAAGACAGCTGATACAGTAGTTATAATTTATCTTTAAACATTCAAAAGTATATTTTAAAAAATGTAATTGCTGCACAATGATGGCATTTAAGGGACATGTAGTACATAACATGGTGTTTCAAATGCATGCTTCATTGCTTACATTAGCATGCACTGCAAATGCAGTAGTACAGATGCTGGTGCAAGTGCAGAAAACTAATTGCAAGTTGCAGTTTCACAAACCCAAACCAGATGACAGCAGTGCAAAAATGGTCTTGAAGAAAGTTTGGGCTGAATCCATACATAACTATCTAACTAGATGGCTTACCAAACCCGAAGGTTCATCACCGAATTAACCAAAGCCCTCCTCCTGGGCCAACAAAATTCAATCTCCTTCAACTCCTATCTCCCATAGATCCTGCCTGACATTATCCTCCCATCTACATCTAGGTCTCCCCAGCGGTCTCTTCCCCTCAGGCTTCCAACCAATACCTGGTGCACACCTCGTCCCATCTATGTGCACTATTCTGTGTGTGTGGGCAGGCGCATGCACGCGTGTGTTTGTGGGCTGGCGCGCGCGCAAACGGTTAATGCAGAGTGGTTGTCTCTGCAAAGGCAAGAGTTGAGAGTGCCCACTTCTTGCTGAAGCAACAGTGCAAACAGTGCTACAGACATTTGTGTGCAGCCTATGAAAGTTGGCAAGATGTTTCAGCCAGGAACTCACCATTCCTCAGCCAATGGTGTGGGAAAATTGTCACAAAGCATTTTCAGCTGAAGTGCCAGGGAGACAGACTGGCAGACACAGACCAAAAGCGTGGCCTCCTAGGTCCCTGAATCAAATTATGTTAGACTCCTTGTTTGAGGACATGTTAAGAAGACTGTCTACTTCCCCTTTCACCCAAATGCCCCAAAGTTTCATGAAAAGATTCACATCATGCTTGTGAATCAGCTGACATATAAGCATATCAATGCTTGGACTAAGACTGATTATCATCTCGACATGTGGAGAATAATCAATGTGGCAATCAAACAGCTCAGAGTTTAATGAATTCCTGTCAGGTTAACAGCCATGTCAGGTGGTTTAATGGAAAAAACACCAACATTTTTAGAAGCATCTTTGTCCTCGTCCTCAGCGTACAACTACAGTACCCTGAGGACAAGGACGAAGACGGTTCTCAAAGAGCCGGTGCTTTCTCCACTAAACCACCTGACATGGCTGGTAGCCCGAGAAAAATTCATTATAATACTCGGTCGCCATGAAAGCTTCAGATCATACATAACTGAGAGTTATGTTCTACAAATTCCATTATCTGGCATAGTTTACTTTTATCAGAATAATTTATAAGACTGTAAAGAACATTTATAATCACCCTGCCTATATTATTGACAGGTCACATTCCGACTCATATGCAAAACTCCATCCACACAACAATAACCATCTGTTGCTAACCTCAGGGCAAAGAAGGATGAAGTGTTATAGCCATAACCTTTTTTGTGATAAACTGCACAAATGAATCTTCCAAGTCAAACTGTCCCAAGGAAATGGAAAATTTTACTCAGGCCTAACTAATACTGTTCAAACTGAAGTTTCTCAATTAACTCCTTCAAACAAAATCTTCCTTTATAAGTTACTGTCACTCAGCAATCACAGAGTTCCCCACACTTTATGGAAACCAAAGGTTCATTACCATATTTGTAAGTGGTCACAAGTGGACCTTGTCCTCAGGCAGAAATTACTAAAGTGCAAAATAAATAGAGATATGTAACATTAACCTTGTTTCTAAGCACCACAGCATAAAGACACACAGGAGGTGTTAAGGCACAAGCTGCACACATTCTAGGCCTTCAGCTGGACACAGCACAGCCCTAGTGAAAGCCTGGACATGGTATAACACCAAATGCCAGCCACACACTTCAGCATTAAAATTACTGTGGCTCAAAAATGATTGTACGTAAAGGGTTAATTAAGGTGGCGTGCCGTGCATGGAAGCAAGGGAAGTATTGCTTACATAGTTGAGAAACAAAAAGAAAAGAATTCATACATAAATCATTCAAGTTGAATAATAAGGATTGTGAATATTATCATCTTCTCAAGAACATAGCGTGGCGAAGCAAGAGATCAGATCGCGGGCAGCAAGTGTCTTTGGAGGAGTTACCAAGTTTCCTTTCATTAATCTTTGTAAGAGTTCATCCCACCCAAAGTATCTATAGGAAACAATTCTGACTGGGTTGTCTATGCTCCTTGGCCTGTAGTGCAGAAGTGAAAGAATGTGTTCTTTCAATGGTGATGCGAAAATTAAGTGTTTATGTGACTTCAATTCTTGTTGGGTGTTGTAAGCATCTATAAGTTTTATTTAAACATTGTGTATGTATATTTAGATGGTGCAGGATCGTATTTGTGATTGTATTTTGAAGTATGTTAAACTCGAGAAAGTATATGAACTACGTGCAAGGGTAGCATTTCTAATCTTATGATATAAATGGCAGGGGAGTGATTAGACTACATGCACATCTAATATGAACGTTGGCAGAGAACCTTCATGTACAGACTGTGCAATTGAACGCCTTTTAAAACAGGGGTTCAATAGAGGGACTTTTCTGAAAAGAAAATAATTATAGTAAGAGGACTGGTGTGAGTTGCCAGAACTTAAACCACAAAAAAAATCATGTGTGAGGAAATTTAATTTGGAAAAGTATTCTAAAACAGAGTGGCCATCTGGTTGCCGTAACATAGGAAAATTGTTTTGTTGGCCATGCCTGTTGTTTCTGAATGAAAAAATGTATGGAACAAGACTGGATTTGGTGATTTCAACAAACTTTATAAAGCACTGAAATGACATCAGAACTCTCAAACTCACTTTGTTTCATCAATGCAACTTGTGATGTTCGGCAGGTCTTGAAATGACTGTCACTTGACAATCAAAAGATACCACGGCTTCCCTTACCGAAAATAGTACTGCACACCACTGGTTAAAATTATGTTGCCAACTGGAAGATCATAAAATTCACTTTTGGCAGTATTTGATAAAATGCTTCTTACATGCCAAAGTGACAATTTGTGAATCCACTGTGAGAACCCCCTAGCAGTAAGCATGAAAGAAAGTGGTATAGCAGTTCTAAACTTAAAAAAATTGTACTTCTATTCAAAATGTGCATATTCTTACCATATTGTCATAATGAGTGTAGAATGGGCCTCGTGAGATAGCATTGCGCCTATTTTGCTCGTAGTTTGGGAATCCACGTACCTTGCCAACAAAACACAACAAAAACTAAGAACTCTGAAAATAAAATTCAAACAACATACAAAGCAGTAAACATTCCAAAACTGATACCATGCTGAATCACTTTACAAGGAACAAGTTAAATGCACCCAACACCTAATGTCTCCATGACAGCCAGCTCAGTAGTGTTATCACATGCCAACAAGTCTAGGCTTGAAAATCTAAATCAAAAAGTAACTTATAACACAAATTAAAGAAGAGTGGAAAGGTTTATTATAATTTGAAGTAAACATGCTTTCCAGATGTGTTCTTCACAATTCTCACTGTTCTTCATTCTCATGTATTGAAATTAAAAATCTATTTCAGTACAGATAACTGCACTGCACATGGACAAATATTCTTATGTTAAACAAAACTAATAACAGCACAAACTGGACAGAGGCAATTTATGTTTCCTTTCATTTCACCAAACACATAACTAACTCCACAGTGCAGAAGAATCCTTGAGAAGCCACGTCACTCGGCTAACCAAGATATTCCATACCTATGTAGGAAGCTGAAGGTTCATTAGTGTGCGCTCATAATAGCACCATTAATCTCTATCCTGAGCCAAACGAGCCCAGTCCACACTCTCACACCCTATTTATACCATTTTTATAGTACCCTCCCATTTATGCCTAGGTCTACAAGTGGTCTCAACCATTCAGGTTTTCAGCCTAAATTCTGTGTGCATTTCTCATACCATCCATGCTTGTTACATGCCCTATCTACCCCCATTTAAAAATAGCAAATTAAAGCTTTCCCTGCTACATGCCACAAAGGCACTTGCGGGAAGAGAAGATATGGTTCTTAATCTTGGCACTAGATGGGGGTGAGCAGTCAGCATCAGGTCCCAGTGGCTATTTACTCCCAGGGACAGGACCAACAGTAACCACAGCCCCTGCCAGAGAACAAATCCCAGTCATCCAGTCCACTCTACTGATTCAGCTGCCCTGTCCCCTATTTAAAAATAGCAGTTCTCTTAATCACATTTATTTCATGTCATTCACTGGTTTATTCCATAATACGCCTGTTTTATGATTCCTGATATGTTTCACATTAAGCAGAGTAGGTATAAAATTAAGCTTTCACAGTGACTGAAGCTGATGAAAGCCTCTCGGGTTACTAGCCATGTCAGGTGGCTGAATGGTGAATAAACCACATCTTCTGCAAACATTTCGAGAACAATCTCTGCTCTCATCCTCAGGGCTGATTCTTTGTTGCATACTCACTGATGAGAAACTTTCCCATCAGCAAGCGCACAACAAAGAAACAGATTTGTTACCCAGAAGCCCTGAGGATGAGAGCAGAGATTGTTCTCAAAACGTTGGCAGAAGATGTGGTTTATTCACCATTTAGCCACCTGACGCGGCTTGTAACCTGAGTCTTTCATCAAGTAGAGTAGGTGTTATATTGGACTAACACTGACCAAACTAAAATTTGTTCACATAATTTAGAGTACATCTCTAATAACAAATGTCATATAGCACACCTAGTAGTTCAATGGAATATTTCTCTATAATGTGTTCCTTTTAAGCACTCCATGCTACATATATAAATTTGTATCCTGAAATAACTTAAAGCATTATTTAGCCCTCTATTATATAAGTTTGCATGTAAATCCAATATGTACAAGCACTCCTAAAATCTCTGCATGCTCACTCAGTCTTGGCATTCCTATTAAAAAGAAGGAAGACGTTTCTTAGGCAATGCAAAATTAATGTAACATTGTCAGGATAATGGTTCAGAGGTTACTTTACGACAGCGTGCCAAATGAAATGTGTTGATATGATATGAATATGAGAGAAATGGGGAACCATTACAGCTAATCTAAATTTACTATCTCAGCATATGCCTGCAAGTACAGGAGAACTACAAGAAAAAGCTGTCACCAGAGCTAAGAACAGCATAATCGGACATTGGTTCCACATAAATCTGTTCAGTTTCTTTAACGTGAAAATCACTTTCATGTCAACAATATCTATGGAATGACAAACACATCCTGACCTCATCTGGCATATATTCTTGCTACAGCAGAGAAATATGCAGTCAAGAAACAAGAAAATTATTAGAATACTGGTGGTTTCATGTATGTGGTAAGTGGCATTCACACTCTTGCAACTGCATGTCCTTATTAATTTTCTCAGTTGTGACACCATGTAGACTTGTAGATACCAATGTCATCCAAAATGTTGGTACCTACCTATAGCCCACATGGTGTCACAACCCACAAGATCAGTGCTCTGAGATCTTCACCACTGAGACAGCCTCAAACCTCACACTGCAGCTCCTCTATCATAAACCCTGGCTCACAGGCAACAATGCCTTGTCCATATTTACATTCAGTCCAAAATCATTGTCAACAAAAGTACAGGTGCACACCTGGCATAAGAGGAATACATGTGGACAGACAATCTTAAAGCAGACCAATGATCATATTGAACCTACATGACACAGTCAGTCAGCTGTAATCACTTCAGCATAATTACATGGATGGGTGAATGCACATGTAAAGCATTATAATTTAAGTAAGATTTCAGGTTTTCAAGGCAGTGAGTCCGAAGACAGCTGTCTTCTATTACTACTTAATGTGAAAGTAACATTCTTTCATATTTCAGATCTACTAGTAACAAATTATCTCTCTGGTAACAGACCCTCAAGATTTGAAAAGGATAATACTAAACTCCACCTCAGAGTTGCATCCAGAAAATTACAGCCCCACAAGTTATATATATTATATGACCACCAATTCAAAGTCTTGAAAACTGCCACTTTCTGAGAGGTTCCACAATCACAATTTGTATTCACGTATCCCCCACAGGAGCTGCAAGTCCAACCCATTATTTATAATCCTCCAGTCACCACTGATTTGATCCCTTATAGATCAAAATATTTTCCCAAATACCATGTTTTCTCAAATTTCTTAATTTACAGAATGACTGATGTTTAACTACATGATGGTTTTAGTGAAGGTGGCATTGGTGGTGGTAGTGTCCATGCCATTTGTCTTGATACCTTAGAAAATGAAGGTGAAAACTGAGGAAGGCTGCTAGTACGACATAGTCTGTGCATGCTCACCTCAGTCCTACCATCCAAAACAACATTTCTCCTCTTTATGGACAGTATGACCATCCTGTTATATAAACCAAGACATAACAAGCTGAGCAAAATCACTACTGTATACTGTGAATGCCAAGTAAACTTGGACAGCAACAGTAGCACTAGCAGAACTAGAACTAGCAGTAAACTCTGCAGTTGCAGTGGCTGAACTGAAGAAATGGGGTGGTGGAAGTTGTAGTGGTAATGGTAGTGGCAGTAGTCATGGTGGTAGTAGTAGTAGTATTAGAAGTAGTAGGAACAGCAATACCAAATTGGAAGAATACATGACAGTGACATCAAGTGAAATATCACAATCCCAAAGTTTCATAATCCTTTTTACAATCTAATGGGTACAACAAATGGACTACATAAAATGATGAAAGGTATTAAGATGAGGACTGGATGTTGCATGGTTTTACCTGATTGTACATGCCGCGGTAATTGAAATTATGCCCTGGAGGGGCTGGTGGGGGCAGGTATGCGTTGTGAGGTGCTGCGCTGTGATTACCATGATGGTGTGAGGGTTCCATAAAAGTATATACGGCTGGTTCACCTCGCTTCATCGCCAGTGCATTAAGCTCTACAGTTGGTGTGATGTTGCCTGATAAAGACAAAATCTTCAGCTCACTGCATATTCCTGCAAATGTTCTCAAATTACCACTCCTTGGAAAGCAAACAGCACAATTATATTTCAAATGCAAAGTCTACTGCTGTGGTTCTCAAACCTTTTACTAATGTGGAATCCTCCTAGTAACGAAACCCTAAAAAAAAAGTTTTTTAAAGTAATTATTTGTAATTTACAACCATATAGGCAGAGAGTAATTTAAAAGGGTTACAAAGTTCAAATATCTGGGAACAACAATAACAAATCAAAATGATACTTGTGAGGAAGTTAGGAGGAGACTAAATTCCGGAAATGCTTGCTACTTCTCAGTCCAAAATATTTTGTCTTCCCGTCTGATTTCTAAGAACCTGAAAATTAAAGTATACAAAACAATAATATTGCCTGTTGTTTTGTATGGGTGCGAAACATGGTCCCTCACTCAGAGGGAGGAACACAGATTGCAGGTGTTGGAGAATCGGGTGTTGAGGAGGATATTTGGGCCTAAGAGGGAAGACGATGGGGCGTGGAGAAAACTGCACAATGACGAGCTTAAAAATCTGTACTGCTCCCCCAATATTGTGAGGGTGATTAAGTCGAGAAGAGTGAGATGGGCGGGACATGTAGCGCGCATGGATGGGACAAGAGGTGTGCACCGGGTACTGGTTGGGAAACCTGAAGGGAAGAGACTGCTGGGGAGACCTAGACGTAGATGGGAGGATAATCTCAGGCGGGATCTATGGGAGATAGGAGTTGAAGGAAACTGAATTTTGTTGGCCCAGGACAGGGTCCGGTGGAGGGCTTTGGTTAATTCGGTGATGAACCTTCGGGTTCGGTAAGCCATCTAGTTAGTTAGTTAGTTATAGGCAGAGAGTTAAATCATGTCCACCCACTTTCATGGAACACGTGTTTATTTACATAATGTGATGGGTGGACACAGTTATTGGCCACAAGGAAAGCTAAAGTCAGGTACAATTTTGGAAACGGGCGCACTCTTGTTGTGTTCTGCATGAAGTCTATTTTGGTATTTAGTTTTGGACTAACACCTTGCAGAATTTAAGGTCCTTACAAAACTGTGTTCCACAAAGTTATGCCTACACTCCCAATCCATTTAGAATGCAAGATAGTGTATACACCTAAATTAATCAGCTCAAAGGCCTACAAGGTCTCAGTCAAGATGGAACTGAAGTTCTCCAGACTAGCAACAGTGAAGTTTCTAACCCCTAATATTGTTCAGTTCACTAATATTGATATTGGCATAAGTTAGAAAGGTGCACATCAGTCAAATAAAATTGTATAAAAACAGGATGTATAGGTAACACATGCTTTGTCAGTTGAAACTATATTTAACAGTGTTAAAGATAAGATGTCTAGGTAATATACGTTTAACCAGTTAAAATCATACAAACAACAAAACATATGTAATGCAAATGTTTTCATGGACAGGGGACTTTCATGTGATGATATGAGCAGTTATTAATGTCTTTCTTCTTCACCTCGGCCACTGCCTATTCCCTCATTCATCCGACACCGATGTCAGTGTTACCAATGGAACACCAACAGTGCTCTAATTCTGGACACTCCAAATGATTTGACGATCCAAATAACCATCCATATGAGCTCAGCATGAGTGCCGACACTTTACAAATGAATAAAGGACTTCAAATGAAATCATATTGGATCTTATACACCTTCAAGCATAGTAGCATTTATATCGAAATGGATGGTGATCCTCACAGATACTGCAGAGGTTAAGCTGGATTCTGAACTTGGGGTGACAACTGGGAAATAATTCCTTTAATTAATTAACATCATGAACTGTGTGGTGGTGAAAGTGATATAACACAAGGCAGTTACACTAAACTCTTATCATAAGATGAGTGCTGGATGCTTCAATGTAGACATTATCTGAGTTTCCTTGTTTAATTCCTCTCCCTTTCTAGAGTTGGTAAGAATGAGAAGGGCAGGCTAAGTGTGTGTGGGTGTGTGTGTGTGTGTGGGGGGGGGGGGGGGGGGGGTGTTTGCTGTTGAATTCATCTGGAGAGAACTGAAAACTTGTTGGTTCTCTGTCCAGGAAGCAAGTTAATTGGTTTTTGTATCAATGGCTTGTCAGATTCTTGTTTCTTTCCTTCCCATTGGATTTACTAATTACAATCGTTAAATTAATCCCCCTCTGTTGGAGGAAGTCTAGTCGAAGTATTGTATGAAAGGGAAAAGACTTGGACATAACCAACTGTCTGTTGGCCATGGTTATTGTTTGGCAGAATAAGTGGAAAAGAGGCTGGAGATCAATCAACTATTGTTCAAACACAAAAACTGTTAAACTGTCTGCTTGTTGCTATCATTAAATGCAAACTGTGGTTGTATTTTTATACAAACACAGTTTAATTGATATTAGTCATAAAAATCTTCATGGTAGGTTGTACATCCAAAAACAATTATGGACGTTCATATAGACGTGAGTCCGCAAAACCTTACTTTTCAAATTAGAGGCCTTCTTACAAGCTGAAAAGCCTGGTGAGAATAACTAGTGGCCGCGCGCGCGCGCACACACACACACACACACACTGCACAGCCGCATGTCAAATTACCTACTGCAGAGTGGTGTTGCATATTACTATTTATGTTTTTTTTTGTTACGAGAGTGAGTCAAATGAAAAACGTAAAAAAAAATTAATTTAATTTATTGAATAAAGGCGGTATAAAACTATATCATTTTTCTACATAGTCTCCATTTCGTTCAATACATGCCCTCCAGCATTTACGAAGTGTATGGATTCCTCTAAAAAAATTCTTGTGGTTGTCTGCGCAACCACTCATGCACCGCCTGCTGTACCTCTTCGTCAGAACGGAACTTCTTTCCTCC